TCAGGAGTAAACCTTTAACCTGGCCTAATCTCTTAGCCAGGGATAGCTGAGTTATTTGTTTAGGACAAGGAGATGAGCTAAGGGTTGTTGACCAAGACGCTTTCCCACAGAGCAGGGAGCCTGCACTTTTATGACCAGGCCACCTCCTCCTGCCAGCCCAACAGTGTTCTGCAAGGCAGGGATTATCAGAGCCACTGTTTTCAGTGCCCCTCCCTTTTAGCAGAGAATGCAGCCTGGACCTATAAGTTTTAGGCTCACCTCACCCTAGTGTTGGGAGCCAAAAGGCAAGAAGAAAACCATCTTTATGGCTTTGAGAAAAAGACAGCTTTATGGTTTCCTGCAAATCTTTATGGCCTTGAGAAAAAACAGCTTAATGGTTTTCTGTAAGTTTCTATAAGATAGCACTTAGTTAAAGAATGTAGAAAAACAACTTTGTGACCCAGGCTAAGTCAGCCTTGAGAAATGTTTTATGCTCACCATAGCAGTTAGCAGATGTTCCTTTAGGATAAGAAATGCCCCTTGAATAACCCTCCCTAGCTATAGCATCCATCTAACAACACCAATTAGCGTCTGCCCAGCACCTTCCCCCTCCCAACTACCAGTATATATGCCTGCTGCTTTCAATAAAATTTTGAGGCTTGATCAGAACCTTGTCTTGCCTCCATTTCTTCGCATTCCTTGTTTGTTTCATTCCTTCAGGTTATTCTTCCGACCCCCCAATGTTGAAGCCCCGCTGGCCGGGGCACCCTAGGGCGTGGCATCCTGGTTTCCTACAGTTTTATAGTAGAACCAGCAGAATTAGCAGATAAATTATCACTGAACAAAGATTTATTGATTACTCACCATGTACACGTTCTGGGAATTTACTGTTTAGCAACAGACAAGAATCCCAACCTTCTAGAACTAACTTCTAGTCAAATTCCCAGCACCCACATGGCTGCTAACAACTGTCTGTAACTCCAGTTCCAGGGGATCCCTTGCCCTCTTCTGACCTCCTCCATCACTGCACGACATGGGTGCACTTACACACATGCAAGCAATACATTCATACACATAAAATAAACATCCTAAATAAAAATCAAACTGGATAGAGGAAGAGAGGAGGGCCATAGGCCTGGCAATTAAGTTTTTCCTCCTGTATTTTAGGCCAGCCTCAAACTGGCTACTTATAGTTGAGGATGACTTTGAACTTCTGATCCTTGCCTCTACCTCCTGAGTGATGGGAGGACAGATGTACCAGACTTGAACGACTACAGCTGGTTTCTGCGGTGCTGGGAATTAAACCTAGGGTGTCATGCCTGCTAGGAAAAATTCTATCAACTGAGCTACATCTCCATGTTCCAGTTTGGCCATTTTTAATGAAAATGACCTTAGAAGATCTTTTTGAACAGACAACATTAAAGATCTAATTAAGGTATAGAAGCAAACCCCATAAATTTATGAAGAAATAGCTCCCATGGAGAGAAAAAACAAGGGTAAGGTTCTGAGGCAGGGCAAGCCCACTGTGTTCACAAAACTGCAAGGACTTTAAAGAAGAGTGGTGGGATTCTGGGTCAGACAGGGCGGTGGTCAGAAATGGGAGGATGGATGAGACCATGGGACCAAAGAACAGAGGAGGAGAAGCAGAGACGGGGCTGAGGAAAGGAGGAAGGGGTGAGGAGTACAAGAGGGTACCGAGGTAGAGGGATGAGCCAGGGAGACATGGCACAACAGTACTATGGATAACTGGGAAGTGCAAGGGAGATGGGAAAGCCTGACAGCAGAGAGGGGGAAACTAAGGCACAGTGCGAAGAGACTAAGGGGAGGGGAGAGAAAGCCAGGTGCAGAGGACTTGGATGTCAGCAGCCTCAGCAGTCTCTGGCGTCTGGCTCTGCTTTAGCGATTCCTACAGACGCCTGACCTGCCAGGGGAGACTTTCCAAAAGAAACATGAGCTTCTGATGAAAGACACAGTGCGATCCTGCAGACATAATATAGGTTGTCACTATCAGGGAGAGCAGAGCACCTTCCTTGCACAGAGCACTGGACAGCATGGTGGTCAAGACTTCATGGTGGAGCCTCCTGCTCCTGGTTTCCCTCTGGGGTCTCTCAGCTCCAGGTAAGTGGGGGTGAAGAGTAAAGCAGGGATGCCCATGGAGCCCAGCCTGACTCCCATCCCTCTGTGTCCCAGCCTTGCTTCTCAGGCGCCTGAGAGAACACATTGAGAGGTTTCAGGAGAGCTCTGGTCAACACCTGAGCTCAGGCCTTGGCTCTGGTGCTGTGACTGTCCCCAGACTTGGGTGGCTGGAACAGCCACTAGACCCCTTCAATACATCAGATCGACGAACCTTCCTGCAGGTGAGGCAAAGCGAGGACCCTGTCCTGTCCGCAGTCAGCTTACTCTTCACCCAGTCTATGTGCTTTTTTTTCTGCTCTCTACCCTGCCCAGCTCTCTACCCAATCCCAGCACTTGCCAGGTGGACACAGGAGGCTCAGGAGTTCAAGGTCATTCATTGTTTTCTTTAGACAGGGTCTCACCACGAAGTTGGCCTGGAACTCACTAATTAGACCAGGCTGCCTCAACTCACTGGGATATATTATCTGCCTCTGCCCCCCAAGTGCTAAGATTAAAGCCATGTACCACCATACCCAGCTTCAAAGTCATTATTGAACTGCAAAGTGAATGTAAGGTCAATGTGGGTGAACTAAGACAGAAAGACGGAAGGAAGGAAGGAAGGAAGGAAGGAAGGAAGGAAGGAAGGAAGGAAGGAAGGAAGGAAGGAAGATTCTAATATGTAGCAAATTGAACTAGCTTTGCAATCAGTTGTGACAGGTATTCAAAAATCTCTTGAAGGAATAAACACATTCCCCTTTCCCATGGCCACCCCTTTATGCAATCTCCAAAGGTCACTCCTCTTGGACACTATTCCTAAATCTAGCTACATTCAGCCGATTCTACAATTACTACTTCACAAAATACCAAATGTCAAATACCAGCTAGTCTCTTCTGTCCCAGGGACATAATAAACACACACACACACACACACACACACACCCCACACAAACCCTGTAGATCTTACAGTTATGTGTTCTAGATGAGCTAAACAAGAGAAGTGAACACACAAATAAGCCTGCCATGGAATCCACCGAGTACATAGGGGAAACTTCTTAGAAAGGCTGAAGTAAGAGGAGTCAGGATGCCATTCACAGTGCCATTTTTTTCTCTGTCATCTCCACTCTTAGAGGTACTGGGTGAATGACCAATACAGGGCTGGCCAAGATGCACCTGTATTTCTGCACATCGGGGGTGAAAGCAGCCTTGGGCCGAGCTCAGTGATGGCAGGTAAGGCGCAAGAGTTGGGAAGCTGGTGAGGACCAGAAGGGGAACTTCGGGTGGCAGGGCTCCGTCTCGGCTCATATCCACCTCCCCACCACGTGCTCTCCACAGGGCATCCTGCAGCCCTGGCCCCTGCCTGGGGAGCCCTGGTGATAGGCCTGGAACACAGATTCTATGGTTTGAGTCTGCCTGTTGGGGGCCTGGACATGGCCCAGCTTCGCTACCTGTCCAGTCGGCATGCGTGAGTGGGAGTAGGGCAGCGTCTGTCATGGACTGAGATTGCCCGTCTTGGCACCCCCATATCTGTGTCGCTCATGCCTGTTAACCTCTGAGTCTGTTTCCATTTTTCCTCTCCCATGGTGTCTTCTCTCTCCTTCCATCTCTTCCTATTCCTGCCTTTCTTTTACCCTCCATTTTTGCCTTTCTGTCTGAGGTAGGCATATTTCTGTGACTGTCTCACTGTGGCCAGCTTCTCCAGACTGCCCACTATTTCATCCTAAGATTATAGCCACATCCTATTTCTGCCCTTGACTTCCAAGTAGAAACAGGAATCCAGTCCAAGCATCAACTGGATCATGACCCTCCCTGCCTCACATCCCTCACATCCCGCGCTGCTCGGAAGAAGTATCTGAGTCACAAAGGCCCCCAGTGAATCGTTCCCTCACCCTGTAGCTCAGCCACCCTGAAATGCTCGCTGTGGTACAGACTGACAGGTGCGTCCCCTGCCTGGAGCTCGGAACTCTTCCGTCTTCAAGGAGAGGCCTCGCAGTCACCAATCACCGCCACTTCTTTCCCCCAGCCTTATCTTGCTGCTTTATGGATTTCCATCATGCTTACTTCGCCCTCCCCTGCCCGATCTGTCGTTCTGTCTTTTCTGGCTGTCTCTACCCCCTGGGCTCCATCTCCTTGTCTGTCTTAATCGTCTCTATAAACTCAACTGGCTTCTAACATCAGCTGCAGGGCCCTGACCGGGAAGCATCTTAGAAAGGCACGGGAAGAGCCTTAGGGAAGAGAAGGGCTTCAGACACACCCTAGCATCTCCTTTTCTCTTAGGGTTTCTCTGGATCCCCAGTTCCTTAGTCCATCCTGCCTAGGACCCCTCCTCCTCTGAGGAACCCTCCTTGACTGGCTGCGGCTTCTCCTTTTCTCGCGGGTTCATCTGAAGTGCTGTAAACTTTTCCTTTCCCATCCAAGACAGGAAGAGGAGGGTGGATTGGCCTTCCCCCTTTGACCTGAGACATCCTGAACAGAGAGTTGGACGCGGTCTTGTCTGGGTCCCGGTCCCCCACATCCACAGGGGACCTCCAGGGGTGCAGTGACCAACCGTTGCTCTTCCCCAGGCTGGCGGATGTGGCCTCGGCCCGCCAGGCACTCTCTGGCCTCCTCAACCTGTCCTCCTCCAGCCCCTGGATCTGCTTCGGAGGCTCCTACGCTGGCTCGCTGGCGGCCTGGACCCGGCTAAAGGTCCCCAGAACCTCTCCAGGGGCCGGAGGGGACCGGGGGGCGGGGGGAAGGTTGGCCTCTGGCAACCCGAACTCCTACAACAGCGACATGCCCATGTCCCTCCCTACCCACGCGTGGTCACTAGGGCTGAGGGGTTCGGGCGCGGGCACCCGTGGGGCTGAGGGCTCGGGCACGGGCACCGCTCCTCGCTCCAGGCCGACGGCCCTCCTCTCGCAGTTCCCCCACCTGGTCTTCGCCTCAGTCGCCTCCTCCGCGCCGCTGCGAGCCGTGCTGGACTTCTCCGCTTACACCGAGGTAAGACGCGGACCGCAGAAGGGGGCGAGGCCCGGCCGACGCCCGCACTTCTCCCCACCTCCTCGTCCGCCCGCCCAGGTGGTGTCCAGAAGCCTGACGAGCGCGGCCATTGGAGGGTCGCTGGAGGTAGGCGGGACCTAACGGGGGAGGACGGGAGACGCCGAGCTCAAAGAAGTGTGGACCGCAAGAGGGCAAGGCGGGAGGGCCTGGGCTGGGCGGTGCAGTCGGGACCCAGAACTGAAGATGGGGCGGGGCGTCCGGGGGGGCGGGACCGGGATGGGGCGGGGCCTGCGAGGGAGGACCGTCTCCCGCTGAGAAGCTCGGTGTGGGTGGGACCGAGGAAAGAGGCCCAGCCGGGAAGGGTGGCTGGGAAGGAGTCGTCGAAGGGCCGGGTCGTTGAAAGAGGAGGTGCCGGGGGGA